GGTATTAACGATAACTCGCTATAACGATGAAAATGTGACCTAACGGGAGTATCGTTATATCCAGTCTTGACTGTATACCTTTAATTAACTGATCAGCGTTAGTATTAGTAACATCGCGCAACTAATCATTCCCATGAATTTGCAAGACAGTCTTCGACAATTGAAGGCCTCTCTTGAGGAGGGCCTTATTGACGGCGATGAATATAAGCAAACTAAGGCTGACCTACTTAAGTCCTTCGCATCTCAGCCAGGTAATAATTTTGTGACTCGGGCGTTGGGGACATAGAGTAGTGTGTACATAGGGTAGAGTAGACGTAGTAATATGCTTCCTTGCCTTGTTTAGTGCATACTAGCGCTTCTTAATATACTTGTTATTACATCATTCCAATTTACAATGATAGCAACTATCATTGTATTAACTCCCTGTATTCACGTCTAATCATTGTTTTTACTCGGGTGTAGAGGAGTGTGTAGACATGCTAGTATAGTTTTTATCACATTTCTCTTTCATCACTTATCAATATCATTTCGTTACTTAACCGCGCACTCTTGCTCTTCTAATTCCTAACCTGTGCTTTCCCTCCTTTTTGATTTCTGCTCAAACAGCATTCAAATCAATCTTGACAGACGGCCTCCCGCCACTTGGTGGTGAGATTGGCAACAGGACTGATTCGTCACAAAGGGAGGACCACGAGGATGCTGTCATTGATCATTCCATGTTTACCCTTATCAAGGATATATCACTTTCTAATAAACCATCATTGATATGGCAGTTATTTGAAAACAAAGGTAATTTCGATTATTGCTCCGAAACCTCAATTGCCAATTGCGTTTCTGTAGTGTTGGCCGATATTGTATATGCCATGGGTAGAGAGAAAGAGCTCAGTTTTCGTGAAGAAATGCCATTTCGCCAGCAGCGACCTGATATATGGGTAGTCTCGTTTCATGGTCTTCCCGTCGGTATCATTGAGATTAAGAAGCCCTCAGACAAGATTATGGATTCACCTCAATTGGGAGGTCAAGTATTCGACTACTTGACTATGTTGCAATCATTCTATGGGATTAAATGGCATTTTGCCATTGTATCCACATACAGACAGTGGAAGATCTTCTGGTTGAAAGATACTGATACCATAGCCAAGTCGGACTCTGTCTCCACTCCGGACAATTTATTCATCACAAATCAACATCAACTTCCAGATATTCCATTATGGGGTGGAGCTAATCCGGTTACTGTCAAGGCTGTTAGTAAGAAACGAACAGCAACTACATCTCGCAATATCTATGCCAGCGACACAATATTTTCAGATGACAAACGTCTTGCTCATGCTATTGCCTCAGTTTTGCATAAGATGGCCTCCACCCCAAGAGACAAGGTTTGTTTGGTAGATCACAATCGAGCTTATATTGAAATGAATGATCAAACATGGAAATGGACAGATCTGCCTTCGGACCTTAAGCAAGTCAAGTTTGAGTTGATGCCTCGTATTGATGCCCCAAAATATATCTGCTTGGCATACTTGGGGAGTGGTTCAGAAGGTTTAGTCTGGCTTGCCACCACTAAGTCAGGTAATGGGTGTGTAATCAAGCTCTCAACAACCATTCGACCAATTCCACTTCAGCTGACAGGCACAAAAGAACATTATAATAGAAATACTGAAGAAGAGAGAGAGACTCTACTTAGTAAGATGAAGACTGAAGCAAAGAATTGGAGTGATGTATGGGGCATTAATGCTCAAGCAAAAATTATAGGTGGCCAGCCTGCACTGGTTATGCCATACCTTCAGATGTGCTCACAAGATGAGCTAGATAATAGTTCTGAAATTCAGAATGCTACATGTATAGCTGTCGAAGATATGGCTAAGCAAGGTTACCAGCATGCAGATCTTTCTCAACGTCATGTTGGCCTTTACAAAAAAGTTGATTCCTCTGGAAAGTGCTGTCTGCATGCAATCTTTGTTGATCTTTCAAACATTAGGAAGATTCAACCTACTGATCAGGTTGATGCTGTTACAGCTATGTTGAGTGATCTCAATTTATGATGATATAATAATGACTGAATAGAGATCAATAATTCATATAATTATGGATAAAATTACTACTCTAAGAACTTAGTTTAGTAGCATGTACCACTTAACTGTCAAATCGAATTGAATACAATAAACAAAATTGCTTTAGTTGCTTTTCATTGTATTGATTTCCTGTTTTTAATTTCGTCCATGCATTATTTGAAGTTGTCAATTAGTTTGCTTTAAAAGTCGAAATTTGGTAAATTATGGACCAGCTTAAATTCTCAAAAGCGCGTTTTTGATTACTTGCTTTTAGCAATATGTGTATAAGTTGGAGACTAGCCACTAAAAACAATAAAATTTATATATAGGACTACCCGTATATGGAAAATTATAATTATAATGTTCGACTGAATATAAAAAAGCCACGCGTTTCTTGGAGATAGGTTGCAAATGTGGTTGCGCAAAAATGATTCCGAGAGAGAAATTTGCTGAATTACGTGAAGCGTTTCAAGCACTCTCTAAATCGGAACAAGATATATTTTTAATGGCCCAATTGAAAGCAATGAATGGTGGAGAAATAACTGCCAGCCGACGTCTTAAAAAGAAAACGCGTACTAATAAAAGAACGTTTTATTATTGAGATCGCCATACGCCGCTTTGTCAAAAAACGTATCTCAATATGTTGGGAATTGGTCGCACTCACTTCGAAAACGTCAGAAATCACCTAGCAACGAATGGCATAATACCGCGCGTTCACGGTAATGTAAAAAAAGTGCCGCGATGGAAAACCAAAATAACCATTGATATAATAACCATTGCTACCGCCGTAAAAAATTTTCTCGAAAACTATGCTGAAATTCATGGGTTACCAAGCCCCGGTAGAAATGTCAATCGCATTACTCAATCACTTACACTTTTACCAGCTGAAACGAGTTATAAATCAATCTATCGTGATTTTATTGCCGGTCTCGAAAATGATAACACGTTGAAATTGTTAAAGTATGATGCGTTCCGCAAGTTATGGCACCAATTAACGCCTTATATTCAAATTATGAGTCCACGAACAGATTTATGCGACACGTAAAAGAACTAATTGGCAGTTTAAACTGAAATCCAAGTGAGGCAGAGATAGGGGCAGTTATAGACTATTTTTGACTTCGCCCTCATGCCTTGAAACATTTAGAAGACAAAGAATTCAGAAAAAGTTTTGTTCGTCTTATTTACCTGCATAAGATTGCACTTGATGGATACAAAAAAGCTGATAAAGAAGTTAAAAGTTTACAATCCTTAACAACTAGTTTAGAGCAAGAGAGGAATAACTTGCTTGAAATAAATAAGCAATTAGAAGAAGAAATAAGAGAATTGGAAGAGGAGTTAGAATTAGAAGAAAACATTTCTAAATGCCATTTAGATGCTCTTGAAGTAGCTAAAAAATGGCGAGTAAGGCAAAGCAAAGAAAAAGATGACAACTTAGAAAAAGCTTCAAGAAAAATAGAGATGCTGGAAAATGTTGTGGCATGGCAGAATTATTTAACAAACAAGCAGCTTCAAGAACTGCCAACTTTGCCAAAGAAACAAAACAAATTCAAACTCCTAACTAACAAAGTAAAATGCAAAATTAAGCAAGCAAAAGCAATAACCCAAGAGAAGTTCAACACTTACATCTTACAAAAGGATAAATAATGAAGTTAGAATATCAAGCTATTGAGTTAAGAAGGGGGAATAAATGACATTGCAATTTTTGCTCTTTTGAAAAAGAAAAAAGTTTAAATGCTACTTACAAAATATTATCTTACCAGCAATAATGATTATAGTGACATTGCTTATATTTGTGTTGAATGCAAAACGGATCTTGATGATAGTGCTCTACCGCATTGTAATAATTGTGGTCGAGCTATGAGAAATAGAATAGATTGCTTCTGTGACTTAAGGAAAGATGAGCCACCAGTTAAAACTCCAACCATAACAGAAATAATGGCTCAGAGTTATGTGGGTAGATTAGA